AAAAGACGTTCAATATTATCAACTAAAATGCAGCTGAGCTGCGAACGATATGCATCGTCAAACACCTAAAATGTACAAATTATTTTAATTACATCAGATATAATTACAAATATATTTATAGAGAAATATAAAATAAGTTATATTATACCTTTCGTATAGAAAGACATTTTGCCGATTCAATAAAACCGACCATGTCTTCGGGTGTACACACTTTAACAAATGGAAAGTCCGAATTCTTTGCAATTTGTGCGGCAAGCGCCGTCTTTCCACTGTTCGGTGGTCCCTCCAAAAGAACAGAAACAAGTCCAGATCCTTCAGTCGCCCGAGCTTGTTGAATGCATAGACCGCCATCAGCGAGTATTTCAACCACTGGTCTTCCCCAGTGAATAATTCCACGAGTTAACAATTGGGTCAATGTTTCAGCACTTGTACCAAATGCCTAAACGATGTGAAAATATAACATATAGTTGCTATGTTTGATATAAATAAATATATAAATAAGAATAATTAGTTAATATACATTCACAGAGTCCAATTATAAAAATAATTATTCAATAAATAACAAACATTTTCAATTCTTGACCACTTACCGGTTTAACATCATGTTCCAATGCATGGAAAAAGTCACTTCGAGATACCATAAGCTTTTCCATTGCAGCTGGATCTACTTCCACTTTGTTGGAAGCTTTAATTAATCGATTCATGGCGGTACTTTGGGCTGCTCTAACTAAACCTTCCAATTCTGCACCACTAAAATTCTTAGTCAAAGTAGCCATCTCTTTTAAGTCTACATCAGGCGCTATTTTTTTATATTCTCTCATTCGGGATGTGTGGATATTAAGAATTTGGTGTCGTCCATGTTCGTCTGGTAAGCTAATTTCCATTTGCAACTTTAAGCATGGAAAATAAAGATACACTTAAAATATTAAATAACAAATAGAAAGATATATCTTAAGGAGATATATCAAACTGTATTGAATTAACGCGAATTGAACTAAAAACATTCTATTCATATTCGTGCACGTTCAGCTTATAAAAACTTTTTGTCTTATTAAATAAATTCTTTACCTCCAATCTGCCAGGTCTTAACAAAGCCTCATCGATCATATCTCTTCTATTAGTCATACCAATAACAAGAATGTTATTTAATTGTTCAACACCATCAATTTTTGCAAGAAGCTGATTAACCACTGTATCATGAACCCCTGTGTTTCCAGCAACACTACCTCGAGATTTACAAATAGCATCTACTTCATCGAATATGATTATGTGAAGTCCACTGTTTGGTCCAAGCTAAAAAAATATACAATATTATTCTTAAATTTTTTCCGCCTGTTACATGTAAAGAGAATCCAATTTATATACATACTGTATCCATAATATATATTTCCAAATAATATATATTTCAAATTATTTACCCTCTTTTCTTCCTCTTCTGCATCAGCGAACAATCTTCTGATGTTAGCCTCGCTCTCTCCAACATATTTATCCAAAATTTGTGGACCATTTACAATTTTCGGTTCCCTTGCATTTAACATTGTTCCTATTTGCCGAGCCATTAACGTCTTTCCTGTACCAGGTGGTCCATACAACAAGATTCCTTTTACATGCTTGCAACCCAATTGAGTGACAATCTCCGTTGGAAAAACACGGGATGCAAAGGCTCTTCGGAAAATAGCGCTAAACTCCTTATCCAAGCCACCAATACCCATTTTCTGAAAGTCCCAATCTGGATTGATAATCGCTTGTCGGACAGCTTTCCCTTTAGACTGTCCAACAAGGTTCAAACTGGAGGTCTCTGCCTTCTCGAACTGGATTATAGTGTCGCCCAAGCAACGTCCCATTTTTGTCTTCTTAGGCATCGTACTTTGCCCCGAACTGATGGCTGACAAGTCGGCAGCTTCCAAACTTTTGATGACTAATCCAAGCAGTTTCTTATCCTTAAACTGAAATGCCAGCTGCTGACCCACGGTGAATGCCTGCCCGGAAAACTGCATCAAGAAGTCCTTAGCCATTTCATCCGTATTGTATGGTTCCAAAGTGACACTGTAGTAACAATATATTAATATAACAATTAAAAAAAAGTTAATAGAAGACTACAGTATTCAAATCCAAATTCTTTGTGCATTTGTGTATAAACTTAATTATGTTCATTTAATTACAAATATTTTATAAAATATTTTATAAATTAATACATATAAATTAATACATATAAATATTTTAATTTTTTGTCATATGTGTATGGTATGTAGCTTTTCCATTAACATACGTTTTTTTCTGCAGAAAATCAGCTTCCAAAACGATGTTGCATAAACATTCTGTGTTAGAAGTTGGATCAAAATGATATGGCCGAACTTCAATCTCTTGATTGAGAGATAATGTTGCCCATTTCCGTTGAGGTAAGCTAAAACCAACTGTACCACGTGGAATCTCATGATGTGTTCTCACAGTAAACACGAAATGATAATTTGGTGCTGTAGTTACTTCAATATGCCTGTAACGGACAATAAAATAAACATATCAATCAATATACTTATTGTATCATGATTTAAAAATATACATGACTCTGTATAGTCTATAAAAAAACTCGTGTAAATTTTTAAGGAATTTTAAAATAAAACAAATTTATATAAATAATAATTTGTGCAATTGAGTTTATATAAGTTAATAAAACTATAAAATGTTTTAAAGTTTTTATTTAAAAATGTATATTCTATAAAATAAATAAATGAGATAAATAATTTGTTGTCTTATTTGGCTGGCTACATTTACAATGTGCGCCTAGTCCATGATCTATACGATAGATGTTTTTGTTTAATTTACAGAACACCTATTGTATAGGCCGTGTAGCCACAGATTATTTTACATTGTTTGAATATGTACAATTTATAACCTAACTTAAATTTTTATAACTAACACTAACAATTATATGGATATTTATAAGATAATTATAATTGTATGTATATTATGTAATAAATTCTTCAAATATATTAATAAATTATATAATAAATATAAGATAAATTTACGATGAAAATATTCTTTAAAATATATTCTTTTGTATAATCAATAATTTTTCTGAACTCAACCTATTTTTATATTTTATCTAGAATTAATTTTAAGACATAGGTGAAAATATATATGTAACATAAATATGCATTAATTTATGAACTAAGTAAAATATAAATATTTAATTTCTCAATTGATTTTTTAGAGACAATCATACGTGTAAAACAACAATGAAACGAGTGTCAAATCATGTGTCATCTTACCTGACATCATCAGGAAAATCGTCGGCGTTGATAATGGCACAGTTGGAGAGGCTGAGCTCGTCCGTGGGACACCTCACTGCTTTCATCCGCTGAAGCATATAAGATTACGTTACCTTATATTTTATGCAAGACAACAAGCTTGACGAAGGGGAGTTATTGATGCGGCTTCGATTCGAAGGGGGAGGGACGACGGAGCGGAGCAGATTGTGCGGAGGCTCCTCGCACGCGCTCTTATCCGCGAAACCGACAACTCCAGGTGGCATCGCCACCGGTCGGTTTGTGGTGGCAACAAAACCCACGCTTGATTTTCACGATCTGAATGGTACTCACCATCTTCGACATGTCTTACGACGAGAAATCAACAAATTCTGGCTGCACTACGAACTACGACACAGTGGCGCAAACGTGTTCACAGTCCGCACCACTCTACACCTTTGATATTGATGCGGCAAAGTTGACCACAGTCATGCGCGAGAGAAAGAGCGAGTTGTTACTCTGTTACTCCTCCAGGTCGCTCTCTGTGTTGCGTTTGAAATCTCCCACTAGGCAGAAATCTTAATTTTTTCCAATGTATTATTAATTATCCTGCGAGAATTTATTAGTTTCTAAATTATTGTCTACACTAATTTTTCGAAATTTATAATTATTACAATTATTATAATTTCTTTTCTTTGAAATACTAAGAGCACCTGGTCCTGGTTAAATATTGAGTTTATCTCTTTTCTATTCCTAAAAAAAGTTTGATCAAAACTTGACAAAGGTCAAAAGAACAAGTTTTGTGCGTTGCCGGCCTCAATTTGTGTGTATCAACCGGCATAACTTCCAAATTCACCACTGGGTCATAAATGACGTGTGTACGGAATGTACATTTTTTGTAACTAAAAAATTTTTATTTTTTTCTTTATTTTCAACTAATTCTCGGTTGTATTGCGGGAATGTTTCGCGAATTATTAAAAGAAGAATTTAATCCTAAATACATTCGGTGGTATTGGATAAATATTAATTAAAAATTCTATATTCTTAATCGCGTATAGCTTTTAGATTTTATCATTCTGTTCAAATCGGAATAAATAAAAAAGAATTTTAAATTAATCTGTTATGCGTACAGAAAGAAAGTATTAATTAAATATAAAATTCAAGAATCCGAAAAATTCTTGGCTTAGCAGAATTTCTTCTAAATTTTTATCGTTCGACAAATTGACTAAATATAATATGGTTGCGTTTATACTGATTATTGAAAATCAAAGTTCAGATAATCCTTAAAATACTTTAATTTAATTTTTGTTATATGAGGTAATTATATTTCTACAATGAGGACTTATAAGGACTAATTATAGTCGAAACATATCGGTGAAAATTTATATTGTAAAATAATAAAATTTGCTTTCTCAAACATCTAATTATAGCTCGTTTAATTATTGACCTGAGAGATCCCGGATTCGATCCTAGGCAGAACAAAAAAATTTTCGTACGCTCGTAGGCAGTTTCAAACCACCAAGAGTATCCTTGCCATGTGCATTTCTATAAACAAAATCGTCATTCGGAATAGAAACTGTAGGTCCCTTATGATTACGTACAATCAGCGTGCGCACCACAGGCATATGATAGAAGTCATCACATTCTTTCAGAGGATTACGGATGGAGGAGGGAGACGAGGAGAGAACTATATTATCCAGTTTAATTTAATTGAAAAAGTATTTACATTTATTATCAAACAGGCTATATGTGTGCGTGTACATATATATCGCGTGTGTATATAACGTAATTCGTAGCGGCAGTATTAATAAAAAAAAAAAGTTTGATGTCTTTAGAGTTTATTAAAGCATATGTAAATATTATGCTTTAATAAACTCCAGACATCAAATTTTTTTTTTTTTATTAATAAAGCATAATATGTAAATATTATGCTTTAATAAACTCCGAAGACATCAATTTACTTTTTTTTTTTAAACAAAATCAAGCTACAAGAGCACTGGCCGTTGAACTTTCGTATTTCCAGTTTGGTGGCAGAGATCCTTTCGTCTTATAGTAACGTGCCAACCTGTGAATTCTCGACTCAACGAGAATTAAACGGAATTTGGAATCTTTATCTTTGCGATTTCGTTCCAAGTGTTTACGCACAGCGACGGCCTTTTTGATCAGGTAATAGAGATCCTCTGGTAGATCGGGAGCCAGACCCATGCTCTTTACAATGCGCAGAATTTTATTTCCTGTACGAAATCGTACTTGTGCTACTCCATGTGAGTCACGAAGTATGACACCTATAAAAATACAAATGTTGTCTTATATACGTTTTTTTTGTCATTTTGATAATTATCGAACTTGTTATTTTACAAAAGTGTCAGTGATGACCTATTGTGAAATAACAAATGATCAAATTCACATCAAACATCACTTATTATAATCTTGCAAACATATATGCGAGAAAATCAAATTAAAAACTCTAAGATCCCTCGAGTAGAGTTTGCTTTCAAATATATTGATTCCTTTAAATAAGCAGCTAGTAAAGCTTTTATTAACAGAAAAATAAATAATAATATATCAAAATTACCAATTTGAGATGGTGTATGTCCTTTTTTCGCTAGCTTATAGATAAGTTCTTTGCAATCTTCTGGTGTTAGTTTCAACCAAGTTGGTACACTTCGTCGGTAAGGAAGCGCCGACTGAGATATACCTTTTCTAAAAAATATAATATGCCATCATATAATATTCATTTTAAACTATAAAAAAAAA